TTTGAAGGTTTTATGGCAATTTTTTGTCCATTGGAAATCCTTCAACTTCTTGATGGCTCAGAAGAAGGATATGCACCAGTCAGTCAACTTGGACATGAATTGGTTAAGGGTTACAACCCGACCAGTGAACCTTTGGGTTTCTTTAATTGACCGAGGGGCTCCATGTTCAGTATGGCTTGTATCTTCTCAGGGTCGGCCTCTATGCCTTGTTGGGTGACTACAAAATTCGTGAATTTTTCTTGAGGTGACTCTAAAGGCTCATTTGGTGGGGTTCAGTTTCATGTTGTATTTTCTCAACACCCTAGATGTCTTGCTGAGGTCCAAGGTGTGCTAGCTAGCCCTAAGACTCTTCACCACCATGTCATCGACGTAGGCCTTGACATTCCTCCCCATCTGCTTGTTGAAAATCTTACTCACCAGTCTTTGGTAAGTGGCCCCAGTGTTCTTCAGTCTAAAAGGCATCACCTTATAGCAGTAGTTATCTTGCTCGGTGATGAATGAGGTATTTTCCTCATCAGTTAAGTGCATCTTTATCTAGTTGTAGCCGGAGAAAGTGTCCATGAAGTTTAGTAGCTCATACCCCATGGTGGCATCGACGAGGTGATCAATCATCGACAAAGGAAAGCTGTCTTCGGGGTAGACTTTGTTGAGATCTGTGAAGTCAATGCATATGTGCCATTTTCCATTAGCTTTCTTAACCATGACCACGTTAGATAGCCATTTAGGGTAGTGTACCTCTCTTATGAAGTCAACGCCGAGTAGCTTGTCCACCTTTCCAATGGTTTTCTAGCACTCTAGTGCAAAGTTCCTCTTCTTTTGCTGAACTGGCGTACAATTCGGTTCCATGCTCAGGATGTAATTAATGACCAATGGGTCAATTCCTGGCATATCACAGCATACCAAGAAAACACGCCGGTATTGGCTTTAAGAGAGCTTATTAGTTTGAAAAGTGTGTCTTGAGGGAGGTGAGACCCGATTTGTACCATTTTCTCAAGCTCAGCCTTGTCTAGGGGAACTGAGATGAGGTCCTCGGCTTGATGGTTTCTCCCTGAGGTCAACCCCCTCTGGTGGTAGGACTTCCTTGTTATTGCCTTTTAGTGCCACAACGTAGCACTGTTTGGCAGCTTGCTAGTTTCTCCTAACTATCCCCATGCCATGCTCTGTGGGGAACTTCATGGCGAGGTGGTAAGACAAGATGACTGCCTTGAGTGTGTGAAGGGTTGGCCTCCCTATGATAGCGTTGTAAGGTGAGCCTATCTTCACAACCAAGAACTCAGTCATCCAATGGACGTGCCGAGGTTCAGTCCCTATAGTGGCCGGTAGGGATATCTTTCCTTCAGGTCTGATAGCTACTCCAGAAAACCTGATGAATGGCACATCAATGGACTGCAGTTGATATAGTGTTAACTGCATTTTCTCAAATGTCTCATAGAATAGGATGTCGACTGAGGAGCCGTTGTTTATGAGGATCATTTTCACCATATAGTTGGCGATGATCATTGACACCATAAATGCATCATCATGGGGCACAGAGATTCCTTGTAAGTCACCATCCGAAAAGGAGATGAGGTCCTCTAGCCTTGGCCTCTTTGGTGTTGGACTCTAAATGTTACACTGCCTGGCATATGCCTTCCGAGATGATGCGGATGCTCCCCCTAAGAACGAGCCCCCGACTATGAATTCAATGACATCGAGGCATTGCCTTCAACATGGTCTTTTTGGTGTTTGCAATGGATGAGGGACTCGAGCTTTTCCTAGTTGAATCTTTTCATATAGTCCTGAAGGCTCTCATCGCGCTTCTGCTTGACAGACATCAGGGAGATGACGGTTTTCTAACATCGTTGGTTACTCAGAAAGTGACTTAGGAAGAGGTCCGCGAACTACTCCCACGAGTTGATGGAGTGTAGAGGCAATGTCGAGAACCATTGGCATGTTGCTCCCTTGAATGTGGCCTACAAGGCTCGACACATGAGGGCGTTGAAGTATTTGTGCAGGATCATGAGGGCATGAAAGCTTTTCAACTATTCCTTGAGGTTCGTACTCCTGTCATAGGTCTCCAGCGTTGGGGTATTGAAATTCGATAGGAGGGGCTTGGAGATGATGGCCACAAAGGCCTCCATCCGGGTGAATGAGGCATGGCAACTGGTAGAGGCGTCACCTTGACCCTCCTTTACTTATTGAAACTTATCCTGAATGGTGCCAATCTGTTCCTGGATATCTCTGAGGCATTGGTCGATCTAAGGCATTGTTGCCTTGGTTTGGTCCTGATTTTCTCTCACGCTAGACGGGCTGGCCCTATTCCTAGAGTGCTCAGACGTCGGCACGTCCTGAGCCTTGCGGGCACGATGATCAATGAGGAGGTCGCGGAGGTCAGAAACTGGTGGGGAAGAGGCATGGTTCCAGCCTCTCGCCCCTGGGGGGACTGTAGTGGCCTGAGTGCTTGCCATCGTCCCGATTGGTCACAACGCGGCGATGCTATCAATCGTGGTTCTTGCACTCGGCGTGGGACCTTATGGGTTCTACCCCTTGGCTAGGGAGCCAAGGGGTCTTGGAATGGGGTTTGCTAGCCCGTTGGCTAACTACTAGTGGACTCCGAGGGGTTGGCCCCTTTCGGACCCCCCAAGTGTTGGCTTAGCGAGGTATGGGCAGATCACCCATCGTGTTGTCTGCGGCTTTCGACGGGGCAGCCACCTTGTGGGTGGCCTCTTGCCAATCGCCCTATATTGTCCAAACGTTGGGCCTGGTTGTCTAGCCTCTTTAGGACCAGCTCGAACTAGTCAATCGTGACTTAGTTCTGAATGTTAGGAGTGGGGTCTTGCTTGTCAGCCATTTCAGAGACTAGTAGTTGATCAATTCAAATTTGTTTTCCTTAGGGAAAGTTTAGAAGATCATCCCACAGATGGTTTCAATTGTTGTTGCTAAATAAGGAGCAGAGGGCAACAACATAATTTCTGGTGTTCAAGGTCGACGAATCCAACCTGCTAAGAGAAAGAAAGATGTCAAAGGCCCCGGGAGTTAGCCTAGGGGCAAAGACTCCAATGGTCAAATTAGCCGAGAGCTATGAGGGGTTAGACCAAACAAGAGATGAAACTTAGAACTTATGTTTGTGTCCCTTTACCTCAATGTGGGAGCCCCTTTTATAGCCAAAATTGCCTTAGAAGAAAGGTAGTTGGGAGCAGGTGGTAGAGATTGATAGTGGTTGACGATGCATGGTTAGGATGTATCTAGATAACGTCACGTGTCAGGATCTACGGGATGGCCGGGATGCATCTGGTCGATGCCACATGTCAAAGTCCGCTGGTCTGCCAAATACCCCTACATCAAGTGGTATGGTTAAACCTAAAATTACTACTAAAATGCTACAATGCAGTTAACTTCGAGTGATTTATGTTAAACCTAGAAATATCTTAAGATTCGGCAATTATTAACATCCATTTTCAATGTGTGGCTGGACGGTGTGAGGATGGATTTTGTGCGGTATCTGAGGTCGAGCGTTTAACTTGATGATTTATCTCCGAGGGCATCAAACCCTAAACCCATACCCCTCCCCCAACCCCCACCCTGGTTCAAGCAGATTTGTTCCCAAGTCTCCCTTACAGACTACAACCAGACTTTACCAACCAGCCAGTTGCTTATTTTATAATGAATTAATGATTAGACATTCCTTCTATGTTCTATCATTTTTTTTTTCTTAATGTTTTGAAAGTTTTAAAATATGTTCATATCAGTGTATCCGCGTATAATAAGTGTACCATATTAATATTTTGATCCTTTGCACCCAACGAGATTAGCAAAGAGAAAACCTTCACCACCTCTATATAATGCAATTTTGTGTGAATCGATGTGGCTAGATAAATCTAATAAAACTCAAATTATTTCAGTTCTCGATGTATCAAATTGTAATATGTAGTTGTGAGTAATTCTACTTGAACATGAAAGGGTGGCATGTGGCATAAAACTTTTTTAACTTACTGCTTATATGTGTAGGGGTGAGAAAAAAAACTGAAAAACCGAATTAACCGAAACTGAATCGAAAAACGGTAAATTGAATCAATCGGTTCAGTTTTGGTTTAGTGGTTTAAAAAAACCAAAGGTACCGGTTCAGTTCCGGTTAATCAATATAAACAATCGACGGTTAACCAAACCGACTGATATACATGTTTTTCTATATATTTTATACATATTATGTATTATGTATATTATATATTTTTCATATATTATAAATTAATAAATGTGCATTATATATAAATATATATTTATAATATATTATTTATTATTTAAAATATAATATTTTATATATATTTATATATTTTTATAATATATGTTATAAAAACTAAAAAACCGAAAAACTAGCAAACCGAACCAATCAACCGGTTAACCGACTGGTTTCCGTTCGGTTCCGGTTACCGGTTTTCCAAACGGTACTACCGATTCAGTTAAAAAAAAAAGGTCCACAGTTCGGTTACCCAAACCGTGAGCACCCCTAGATATGTGGGCTGGAAGCACCATTTTCTGAGAACGATTTTTTTGTTTGGAAATGTTGCTGTCAGATAAGACATTTCCTAAAGCAACAACAATATTTTCTGTTTGATACCAATGCTCTAAGAAACTTTTTTCAGCACTAGTATCTATTATCCAGTGCCACATCATGTCTCTGTTAACAGCAACAAGCTGCAACTCCAGGAAACATCAAATTCGGTATTGCTCCAAATCACACCTTCTCGATTTCTAAGGCATGGTTTAGAGCACTATTTTTTATAGAAAAACGATTCCAAACAAACAGACATTTCCTGAAGCACCATTTTTTCTAACATGACACTGATGTGTCAGTTTTACGCTAAAATGGTGAATTTTGAGATTTAGATATGTTATTCTGTAATTGCAGTTAAGGATGTTCGATCGCGTTTGCAGTTTAAATTATGTTTCAGTTGCAATCAATGGATTAATCATTTTCCCCTACTCTTCCCCCCTCCCAATTTGTTGTTGCTTGGATTGGAAAAGGCACAACAAAATGTTTGACTTTCAAGGCGAAAACAAATCCCCCACTGTATAATTGCACTGAAACATCAAAGTATGAAGTGCAGAAACAAGATGCCTTTCAGTCATTCATTCCGTCTCATGAAATGCTCTTTCAGAAATTGTGACGTTAGTAAAATAAAGCTCTTAATTATCCAAACAAATGAATGGGGGTAATGGATCTCCAAGGTTAGGATCCACACCCTCTCCTCTTATCCTCAGAGAAAACATAGCTCCCAGGAATTCGAGCCCCCATAAAGGTACGACTGGCAATGTGCTCCCCAAAACTCGAGCTCTCTTGACAATAGAATATCCATGCCTGCTGATAATCCCCATTTTCAGCTTCCAGCAGCAGCTGGTATGGCTGCTGGTTTTGCATCTTCAGCTTTCTCATGTTCTTTGTTGAGCATCTGAAATCAAATCCCAGAATTTGATGTCATCAGATTCGAGTCACAAGGTCATCATGTCAACATTAAATTCTACATCAGATAAAGACTAAACAAAAACTATTACCACAGGAGAAAGCTTATTACCTTGTTGTTGATCAGATTATGAAGAGCAATTACACTTCGAATGAGAGAGGAAAGATAAATAACCAACATCATATCATTTGTTTTCACTGAAGAACAGAGACAAAGGTTAAATAAAGTTCCAAAAAGATCACTGCATGGGAAAAATTATAAAAAATAGAAGTGCGGATTGTAAGATCACTGCATACCAGCAAAAGCCTTGATTAACTCAGCTACATTCAGATTCGGAAGTAGGTTGAACACATCCTGCAGATGGGAATGCTTTTAGTAAGAATCCAAAATTATTCCACGGAAGTAGATTGAAGATATCCAAACAAAATGAGCACTTGGCTTTTTTTAAAACAAACACAGAAAACACAACAAAATTTCTTCATAGATCCATGATCAACCCGGAGTTCATCACCCTTGATGCATGTAAGTGAACTCACAGAACCATGATGGACATGAGGTCCATCACTCTTAATGTACCCCTACCAAGGGCCATTAATAATCTGAACCTGAGATAAATTTGCAGCTCAAGGAATCAGGACTGAGAGCATAATATTATCTATACATTTGAAAGAGGGAAAGCAGATGCTTCTTTACTTTGGGTAAAAATACAATGTCTTCAATAAAATTTTGTAAAAAGGCACTTAATGCAATAATATATAGGATCCATGAGACTAAGACTATTCCATAGTCAAGGCAACAACAACAGAAAGTCCCCCCCCCCTCTCCAAGCTTCCTTACAAGTGTAGGTCTGGATCCTTACAGCAGCCTTGGCTCCCCCCCTTCCCCACCCACCCAAAGAAAAACCTATTTCCCCCAACTTTGCTTTCTCACCAGGCTGTAACGAAATACTAAGAGCTGATCAATAAGAAATGGGGAGGATGGGTGTTGGACCTGATTGTTTAATCAACATAAAGCAACTTTATCAATTTGGACAGAAAAGATGTGATGTTTCAATAAAGTAACTTCAATTTCAAAATTCCGAAAAAATGCACATAAAGTTTATCGTAGCATATGGATGGACTAGAACGAGCTCGGATATGAAAATGGCAATGTGTTCAAATGGCTGCTATTGGAACCTCAGTCAACCATAAGTCTTTGCTTTCCTAGCTTGAGCATATTTATGAGGGAACTTGGTGCATGATAAGCACCTACGATAGAAGCACTCTAGAAAGGAGAGGAAGGGGGGAGGGATAACATTCAAGAAATAAATATAGTGAAATTGTCCTAGATTCAGTTGTGTAGTTCGTATGCATATTACCACACACACACACACACACACAAAAGTAACACTTTTAAGAACACTGCTGGAAAGTGTGTGCAAAATGCCAAGATGCAAAGTGGCATAAGGAGACAGAACAATGTACCTGTAAATGGTACAGAATCTCATGATTTAGAGGGAGCTTTTCATCAACAACAAGATCAAGATAACCACGTATTTCTCGTAATCGTGCATCTAATCCTTTCAATGCTGCAAGTTTCCCGGTAACCTATACACAGAACAAAAGTAGGCCTAATGCTTCATTTGTAGGGAAAACATCAGAACTAGAAATTTAAGTTTCCACCTCATATCAGTTCTTCCCAAAATTAAATAAAAATGATTAATAATAAACTTCACATAACAAAGTGTCCACATTAAAGATGTCTTGTTCCCATTTGTCTCTCTTCAGGGTTGGGGGTTTACCTCGGTTGCAAGGGTGCTAATAGTTGTGTCCTTAACATCCCTGAGCAAATGCTCCACGCCTGTTGAAGAGGAAGAAAGATCACATATTCAGTATAGGAGATGTCAATTAACCCAGCATCCCCCCTCCCCCCAAAACACACACACACACACACAAAAGGAAACAAATGACCCCCTCCCCCTCCAACACACACTAAAGGAAACATATGAACAGTGACAAGAAAACATAACTGAACAGATATTCCGATTAAAAGTGAGGAAAATTGTTCTCCAACATCCCCCAAAAAGAGCTAAGGAAAAAGATCTATGGGTATACCAATTTCCTCTACTTCATGAGCAGCAATTTCTGAAGGTACATGCATGAACACCTTCTGGCTTTTTTGAGTGGCATTCTGTGACCATATCCAAACATCATTTGCTAATACATAGGAATAAGCAGCATGGAAAGAAAACTTTGAACATTAAAACCAATTTTTGAAAAAAAAAACTAAAAAAATATAAAAGCACATGGTTTTTAGTACTGATACACCTCTGCCGATACACAGAGGTGTATCGATACTTTGAACCTTGATTAAAACAGAATATGACCAATAAGGCATCAAAGCAATGCAAGATAATTATTGTGTTGTGCAAGACTAGTTAGTTTTACTCACCTCTTTAACCTCTTCAACAGCATAGTAAGCTTTCGTGGGTATTCCAAGTTCTTTTGGTTGGACATCTATAATGACCAACACAGGGTTTGGAACATAGCTGTAATCACAATTCAATTAAAAAGTAAACAAGCAAAAGAAGAACCAGTGGTTAAACTAAATGTCTATAGAATAAACAGAAAATATTCTGATAAACAATAAACACCAAAAAGCACACCAATGAGCTCTACACTAAAAAACAATATCTATGATGACCAAAACCAGATTTGGAGCACTCTTTGATTAGTTCAACCAAGTTTCTTGGAACTCCCCACCAAATGTCAAAATGTCTGAAAAAAGGAATGCCAAATACAATGCACAGACTTCACGCTTTAAAAGGAAGATAAATTGTTTCCTTGAAAGGTCTGTGCATAGAAAATGCATTGCTTATAATTCAGCTGTTGCTCAAGTGATCAACCATAAAAATTTTATGGATCCCAATAAACTATTGTGCGGAAGTTTTACCTTTTGCTTAATAAAATATTTATATTCCATTGCTTACAAAAAAAACAGAATTCCAAAAGTACCCGAGAGAAAGAGGATAATACTAAAAATGCATAAAGTTAGTTCCTTAGCATTTGCAAAATAACTCACACTTCTATTAATGTAAAGACTGGATCTTACTCGTGAAACAATCCATGAATATCCAGGTCATTTTCCCGCAGTTTTGGACCTGTGCTGTACCAACCTACAACATGCTCCTTGGCTGAAACACATCACAGTCAATTTGATCAAATAATGACAGATTGAAGATGCCCTGTACAAGATGTATAATGAAGAGACTTCATCAAAAAGAAAGTAACAAACAATACCATTTATTCTCTTAAACATGGAGAACATTGATTCATGGTAATTGTGGTCAAGAAACCAGATGCTGGGATACTTATCATCTTCCTCAAAGGGCACTGCAAATTTGAGATCCAAATACTCAGCATTCATATTAATTGCCAGATCACTTGTGAAAACAACACTAAGGAAAAAAAGCTGATGATATAAAGGATTATTAGAGTAATAAATTCCAACATGGCGTTTAAGCCATTATTAACTAGCTATTCTGAAATGTGATATTCCCACTTTGGGCATTTACATTATTCTCATTAGAGAATAACAATATGTTAACTACATTTATTGTTATTGCTACATACCCCAAAACAACCTGCAGCTAATGTCAGGAAACAATGTTGTAAAACTCAGATGGTAGAAGAAGCATACAAAACCAAGAATCATATAAAAAAAAACATAGAAAAAGTTGAGGATGAAACCAGTTAATATCAAAACTAATCAAAATTTGAGATGAAATGATATGGCTCTATGACCAGGGGATATGTAGGATCAATAGGCATACCTCATGGATTGAAGTCTAAAAGCACTTTGCAAAAATAAAACAAATAATATAATCTTTGATTGGACAAACAAGGCATGCCTCATGATTTTAAGAATAAGAATGAATTACAGAATAGAAATTAAATATGTCAACAATGAACGCGATTAATGGCATAATGCTCAGATGAATTCAGTGTTTAACTACATCAGATATAAGTACTCTTCATGCCATGTTTATGGTCTTTCAAGATTAAGACTTTAAGAGAGCATTATCTTTATCAAAAACAAGATCAAGTAGTTTCAGTGTTTTAAAAGCACAAGGCAAAAAACAAATGCAAAGGCCACTTTGTGCCCAAGGCACAAGGGGAGGTGCACACCTTTTTGCAAGGTGCAAAATTAAAAATAAAAAAATGCAAAAATTCAAAAATAAATTAAGTAAATATTAAAAATAGTATTAATTAAAAATCAAACTTTAATTTTAAACTAAATGCTTTAAAAAAGCCTATTAGTTCAAATTTAAATACATAAACATAACATATAAAGCACATTGAAAGTGAAAAATGCAAAAATAAAATAAAAAAATAGCATAGAAAACATATTCAAGCATGTCAAACTTTTAATTTCTTTCAGAATTGTTAGAAGTAGTTACCAGGGGCAGCATTGTCTTTTTCATGTTATTCTTTCTCTCTTATATCTGCTGTAATTTTCCTAAGGGTATTGTAGTCATTTCAGCCTTAGTAGAATGTTAATACAACCTCGGTCGACAGTAAGGAGAGGTGAACAGATTTCTCCTTTCTAGTCTTCCCTCTTTTCTTCTCCTTTTCTTCTCTTTCCCTTCCCTTTCTCTTCCTATTTTGTTCTCTTTCTTTCTTCTATCCTTTTCTTCACTTTTTCTTACTTTATTAAAGTTGGAACAATTTCTTTATTTCTTTCTCAATTGCATTGTTTCAAATAGTTAATGTGATGTTAGATCTTTCATTCCTAATTTTACAATCCGCCTTTTCTTCAGTGAACAAAGCAAGCGAATGCCTAGGCTAGGACACATAGCTTAAAATGCGCCTTGCCTGTGCACCTAGGCACACATTTTAAATCATTGAGTAGTTTCTATTAATAATAACAAAGAATAGCAAAGAAGATTATCAAACAAAAACAAAATATCCTCAGTTCATCATAGGGAATAGACAAGTAACCAAATACAAAAGACAACCTCCCAAAAAGTGTCTAAGCACTACCATCCCACTACTGGCCCCCAATAAAGTGTAGGGGCTTCCTAAAGCTTGAGGCACAAAGCTAAGTGCATTCCTTAATAAACTAGGTGCCACTTAAAAACAACATAACATATACACAAAACTAAATTTTTAAAGAAATCAACTATCCCAAAAAATAAATAAATAAAAAGGGACCATTAGATGATTGATTAGAGCACCATGTTATTAACATAATGGTTGTAGACGTGTATGTTTGAGCGCTACAAAAGTGAAACTGTTTAAACACTAAAAACCACAGCTACAACCTACAATATAGGAAAGTGCCTATTTAAACATCAAATTCAAGATTAATTCATCAAAAGATAACAAGAATCCAGGTGAGGCATACCTGGGTTTAGATGAGATATACCCCATAAAATGAGCTTCTAACTCAGGCAAACTTTTTAAAATATTGTCTACATCTTCTCTAGTTAGAGAATTGCAAGTGAGGTAGCTGATCTCTGAACCCATTTGTACAAGATGTTCCCTCTTGAGGCCAAAAATCTCATCTCCTAATGTAGCCTCTAGTGATCCATGGGGCTCCTTCACCTTTCCCTTATTCAACTAATAACTACTTGAGAGTCTGATCCTCAGTCTCCCCTTCCACTGCAGAGAAGGGAAGCTAAGAACTCGAAGTAGCCTCAAACCTTGTAATAGCATTTCAGGTTTTTCAGCCCATGTTGAATCCCCATTTCCAACAGGATCCGAGTAAATGACAAGTTTATTCCATGTTGGCACAAGAAAATGACAAGACTATTTAAATATCAAATCTTATTGAAGTTCCAGCTACATAAAGAGGTAAACATTTTGAATGTTAGAAGCAACTACATTTTGGACGACTAAAACTCTACGCTACAAGCCCCAAGGACCTAAAATAGACTTTCAAGACTAGTATAAATATAAGGTTAAGGTCTAAATCAAATGACTAAGGAGTCATATGCGAACTCATCATTCCTCTTAGCATTAACAATGTATTAACAAGAAAACCCTAATTCCATTCGTCAGATAGCCTACCTAAGCTCAAGCTTTCCATATGATATTAAAAGGCACTACTGTTCAACAATGGCAATACCCTAAACCGTAGTTTCCTTCACCGAATCCAAATTTTACCACATAGTTGATGGTACCGTTTAGCGTATGAATTCAAAGTTTTGTTTTTCCCCCTTTTTTCTCTTAAAATTTGTTCGACTATAATAAAACTCAGGCTAAAAATGTGTGCAATAAAAATCAAAGCAAGCAGTAGAAAAAATCTAAATAAAAAATCGGAGCTAACTAGAAACGAATTGAAGGAGTTCAGATCTGAACAGCACTAATGAAAGAAAAAACACATAAATAAGGGACAACAGGAAGCCGAGCTTTGGCGACATAAGATGAGATTAGAAAATCGTGCCTGCGTAACTATTGGTGACATCAACAGTGCCTTTGAAGGAACTCCCAAGTAGAACTCCAATAACACGTTTCCTGGTATCCCTCGCGACTCTGTTGTAATTGTCGACGATGCTAAGAAGAACCAGAGGATGGACTATAACTTTCTCAATCGGCCTCGACGAGATCTGTTGTGTCTTGATAACATCCATCACTTCTTCACCTTCGAGTCGATCTTCAGAAAACCCTCCACAGAAAATGAATTCGTAGTTGGGATTTTTAATACAGGAAGCTTTGAACTTCGACTTGTAAGAGTTTAAAATTAAGGAAGAAAGTCAGAAACACAACTGTACAAGCAAGGAACAACCACCAGTAACCACGCTTTTGCCTACCTTACCAAGTTGCCTTGCTCTCTACTCTTTCCGATTTGTCCTTTTCCACTGGTTATAAAATTGTTAGGACAAATGGGGTTGGGTAAATTACAAGAGGTGGGATCAGGGCGCCTCACAACGACCTCACATGCACATCCCACCGAATATTGAAAATATCTCATGTAAATAATAACACACAAGTACGAGAGAGTTACTAATGCCATTTGTGAGAAGCAAAACCGGTCTCAAATTACAAATAGTCTCCTATGAAAATTACCCCTGAACTTCATCTATATCTATAATCTATACAACTTTAAAAAGTACAAATGTCTTCAAGAATATTTCTAGAATTTTTTAAGGATAATATTTACTTTTTTATATTTAAATTTAATAATAAAAAAATGAGACCAAATATGGTAATTGGTTTTTGATATTAAATGAGTTGAAAAGAGGTAATTTAAAGATATTCAATGCATTCAATCCGCTCTCATTAAATCCAACATTTAAGTTATTAACTTGCATTCATGTTCATTGAATCATATATTTAAGTTATTTTTATTTCTTTTCATCATTAAGTTCTATTAATCAAATCCATACTTAATAAATTAATAATTTCAATTACATAAAAGCTTATACCTTTAAAATTTACCTAGCAAAAATAGTGTTTTCATCTAAGTGGTGGTAAGAAATTAAATCATTTTGGGCCAAATGGGTTAATCCATGCTGCCATGATTAAATAATAAAATAAAAAAATAGATAAAATAAAAAAAATTAAAATAATTGGGAACATTTTTAACATACATATTAAATAATAATAAGTATGTTAAATAAGAAATGTTTTTATTAATGATGAAAATAGAATGTAAAATTTAAAACCAATTGGAAATAAAAATATTTTCCTTTTCTCTCATTAAATCCTATATTTAAAATATATTTTTTCTCATCATTAAATTCTTGTAATTAAACCCACAATATTAATTTTAATAGTATAAAAATAAATATTTTGAAAACAAAACCATTTTCTTCCCTCCTGGTGGTAGGCGCAAGCAATTTGACCATTTAGGGTCAAATGGATTAATAAATAATACCATAATTAAATAATAAAAAATTAAAATAAATAACTATGAAATGTAACAAGTATTTTTATTAATGATGAAAATGGAAAGAAAATTTCAAAATCTACCTAGAAATTAAATGATGTCATAGTCAAATAATAAAATTTTTAATAATAGAAAATACAAAGAATCACAAAAATTAAAAAAAAAAGATAAGGGAAAATTTTGGGTACATATCTAATGTTATATATTTATAAAAAATAAAATATTGGGTACATCTCTAATATTGTACATTCATTATATTGAACAAAAATAAGTTTTATACATAAGAAATAATTTTGTCAATGATGGAAATGTAATACAAAATTTAATGTCAACCTAGAAATCAAACAATTTTTATTTTTAGATGGTGGTTAGTGGTTTGAGTAAAATGATACCATAGACAAACAAAATTTAAGTGTGATGAGTAAAAAAATTATTTTATATAATGTAAATGAAATATATAATTTAAAGGGAAAATTATAGTCAAAGTCGGTTGTACATTTAAAATTAAGTTGCAGGTTGGTCCAGAAACCAACCAAACTCTGAAATCTGGCTCTACATTTTAAATTATAAAAACCCCCGCCATGTCATTAGAGGCTTATGTGGCTGTTACCAACATGGGACTCTTATTCCATGTTAGACACAACAAAAAACCCATATCGAAAATAGGTTTTTAGTTTCTCTTCCACTTCCTCTGTCTCTCAATCTCCCTCCCTTCTCTCTCACTCTCACAATCATCTCTCGATCTCTCGCTCCCTTTGTCTCTCCCACTCTCTCTATTTTGGTCTGTATCCAAATCAAAACCTCTCTCTCTATTGTTCTCCCTCAATTTTTCTCATTCTTCTCTCTCACTCTCCCTCTCGGTCAAAATCTCCTTCTCCCTCAATCTCTATCATTCTTCAATTGGATTAAATTTCATAGCCAAGAGTTTATTGTGAATTTTAACAAATTGGTGTAATAACTTTTGAACCATACCAAGTTGGTCTCATGTTCTTTTATACGATCTGATTAATACCATATAAGTGTGTAAGAAAATAAGAAAATAAAAAAACAAGAGAGTGAGAGGGAGAGAATCTAAGGGAGAACAATAGAAATTAAAGGAGAATGAGAGATCGACCAAGAAAGAAAATGAGAGATTGAGGGAGAATGATAGGTAGAGAGAGAGAGAGAATGAGAGAAATTGATAAAGAGAACGTAAATACAAAAACCAAAAACCATTTTTATTTATTTTCAAATCACATAGTCGTTGAGCAGATAAAGATGACTATGAGTGAAAGAGTGTGAGGGAGATTGAAAGAGAGAGAGAGAGAAACTATAAACCCTTTTTTTTTATTTTCCAATCACCCAATATTAAAGGGCAATTTCAGTATAAGCTTTTTATTATGTTCAATATTGATTAAGAGTCCCATGTTGGCAATAGCCACATAACCCTCGATGATATGGCGAGGGCTTTTATAACTTGAAATGTAGAGCCGTTTGTTAGAGTTTTGTTAGTTTATGGACCAACTTGTAACCAAATTTTAAATGTACAACCGGCTCTTACTATAATTTCCCCTAATTTAAAGCTAATCCAAAAGCAATGCTATTTCTAATCTAGATGGTGGGTCAATGATCCAACTTTTCAAAAAAATGCATGATATCATAATTGAATAATAAATATTTAAGTATTTTTAATCATATTATTACTTTTTTTAATTTTCAATTTCTATCTTAACTATGATATATCTAAAATTCAAGTAATTAATATGAAGAAAAGTTTTTCATGTGCAACGCATGTGCTTAATTACTAGTACTTATAAAAGTGCCAATGGGGGCTCTTGGCTTTTAGAATTTTGGTTGGACAAAGCTTACCCTTTTATTTGACATTTTTTAAAGTGTAAATAAGGATAAAATAGGTATTTTATAACCTATTTAAACACTAGAAATAAATAATTGCAATTATTCAACATGTATTAAATGGCAATTGAATTAATTGGATAGAAATTACGTTAAAACATTTTGAAAGTGGGAATATGGACAAAGACATGTATTCTATAGATAAAACCTTTTTAATGATTTAAATTAATGATTGTAATTGCCCCAATATGTATTGAATGGTAAGTTGGTAACTGAAATTCTCGTAAGTTACTTAATAGTACTTCACACTTCCTCTTTGGTTGTTGGTCAAATGTTACAAGCATCTTCCTATTTTATGTACAATTATCTTGAATTATAATCAAACCCAAGCGTTGTTGTTTAGATCAATGTTTTAAAAAATGATTCAAAACCGGAACCGTTCTAGCCACCGGTTTTCGGGTCAACAGTTCAACCGTTCAGTTCGAATAGACGGTCCATTCTGACAAAATAAATTAAAAAAATAAAAATAATTAAAATTTAAAAATGGCCAAAAACTGTTAAACGGGTCGAACGAGTCGACGGTTCAATTGCTCGGGTCAATGGTTCATTGCCCAATTCAACAGTCTTTGGCTAGGGATCGGGTTTGGGGTAAAATGGAACTGGTTGCCTGGACGGTTCCTGGGCCAAACAGTTTGATCGTCCGAGTTAACAACAGTTCGAAAACCATGGTTTAGATGTTTACATTGAACGAATAATAAGTTATCTTATTGAATGGTTAATGCTAAGTATTTGATCGGTGTCCATTAATGTTCAATGGCAACATTTTAATTAGGGCTTAGTTAGTTTTCCACATTCCCAAAGGACTAAAAGATAAAAGTAAGCAGGCCAAGTTGGAAAATGATGTGAATGGTTATAGCATTTTTAATTAATGTTTCCAAATAACCCATTTTATTGTTTTTTTTTGTGCTTATATAAATTGGTAACATTCACTCCAATGTTGGGGATGTGTTTAGCTTTACAAATTTGGGACTAGAGATATTAACAGGTCAAGGTTGATGCAAGTTTGGCCCAATCTAAACCTGACTCAAACCCAATTAAGGTTGTCCAGATAGGAGTGGGCCAGTTCAAGTTTACCTCTTAATCAACCCACTAACATCTCTAAACCTCCTAGACCTCCTCTCACTTACCACATTCATATAGATACACAAAATTTTAGAGAGGGTTATAAGCATAACAACGATCCATCCTCTCTTTTCCCCCATGTCCTTGGTATCCCCATACAAGTTTAGAAGTAAAAAACCCCGGTGGGTTGTGCTAATCTCCAAGGAAAAAGCTAAATGCACTCTTGAAGCACAATGTTGCAACAGAGAAAACCATGATATTCAACAATGATTTACACTATTTTGGCCACATAACTTGCATATGCTGTAATTGAAAAAATGATTAGTACTCTTCATAGAGGTGAGAGGAGCACCTAGAGATATTGAGGATGCTAAAGAAGTGTGCAGCTAGCTTGGCTTTCATAGTGTTTAACTAAAGAAATCAGGACCATTGAGAATGTAAAAACAACAACTTCTCTAACATTTCATTTGTTGACAACATTTAAGATAAGTTAATTCAATGAAATATGCTTAATTGATCTCATTGACTCTCTTATTATTGTCATTAATGACATAAAGATGCCATGGGGAAAAAGTCCACAGTTGAACAAACCTTCAATTGATGATTTTTTACTTTCAAAATTTTAATAGGAAACTATAAACTGTTAAATGTGTGAAGGGAAGACATGTGGGGTGTTCTTAGCATTGAAAAATATGTTCAAGAATTTAGTATCAAAAAAATATGTTTGAGAATGTTTTTTTAGTAAAATCTATGCAAATATAAATTAAAATAATATTGCCTCCAAAACTTCACATTTAATATTAAAGTCCAATTACATATACACATTTCATTCTAAAAAAGGTCATTGGTTCAATAACTTGGATTGATCCAAGTTTGAGAACACGTAGATATGTAGGAAAAACACTAATAGTAAGAATAATAACAATGGAGCTAGGGAAGGAGTATAGTAGATTACAAATAACTGATATTATAAAAATAAATTGGAAT